AGAACCTGTGGCAAGGTTCTAGTTGGTTTATTTTTGCACTAGACAAGCATGAGGAAAAAAAAAAAAAAAAAAAAGAGTTAAGCCAACTCTATACCAAGGGAAACAATAGAACAATAAAGAGTAAACAGGAAAATCAGGCTAAAATTTGACTCAGAAAGTAAGCTGCTTAGGAAGCTAAGAAGACTAGTTATCAAATTATAAGATTTTTAAAGGGTAACCCTTTACATAGTGATGTAAGAAAAAAACTAATGAGAGGACAAGCACATGTCTGTGATCCCACTGGAGACACCAAAGCAGAAGGGTCACAATTTCCAGGCTAGCCTGAGTAAGAACCTGCCTCAAAAATTAAAAAGTGGCTGAGGATGTAGCTCCGTGCAATACTGGGTTCAACGTCAGTACAACCAGAAAAGAAAAGAAAAGAAAAAAAAAGCAAACCAAAGAAAAGGAGTGAGGGCAGTAAGGTGGTTAAGAACTCATGGGCATCGACACCAGTTTCTTCAAGCCAGGCAAATGGATTAAATGTCAAAATAAAATCACTAAAAAAATTAAAAATAAAAAAAGAAAGAAAGCAAGAAACAGAAAAAATAAATAAATAAAATCACTGTCAAATAAAACACTAAGGTAAGACAGTGCTCCAGGAGGGAAAGGCTCCTGAATATCTAGTCATTAGGCAAGATTTCAGAGACTACTCAATTCGGTAGGCATCCCTGTAATCCCACCACTTGGAAGTCTAAGACAGGAGGATTGCTATGAGTTCAAGGCCAGTCCCAACTACATAGTAAGACCCTGCCTCAAAAAAAAAAAAAAAAAAATTCCATTTTTGTCAGGAGTGGTGATGTATGTTTGTAATCCCAGCACTGGGGGGAGGGGCTCAGGCAGGAGGATCGCAGGAGTTTGAGGCCACGCTGTGCTAAATAATGAGTTCAAGACCAGCCTAGACTGCACAGTGAAATCCTGCCTAAAAAACAAAAAACCAATCCCTGATCACTCCTTCTCAAATTTCCAAGTTTAAGCTCATCATGGACAATTTAACAATTTAGTGAGACCCCGTCTCAAAAGTAAAAATAAAAATGGACTGAGTATAGTTCATTGTGAAGGCCCCGGGGTCAATCTCTTACTGCAAAAATATAAAAAATAAATAAATAGCCAGCTAGCCACACTTGACACTTCCTGCTTCCTCATGACCCATTTCTTCATCATTCAGACTTCAGCCTCCAGTGTCTCCTGAGAACCTTCTTAGGATGTGCACTGGCTGGCTCAACTCCCCTGCAGGGTCACACACAAATATTCACTTCACTCTTCCCTTGGCTTCATAACTCTGCGTTCCACCCATTTCTTTGAGTTCTGTAATCACCTCCGGTTCCTCTTTCTCTTTTCGACACTTAAATTCTCAGACCAATTCTTATTTTTCCTCAAGTAAACTGTCTATAGTCCAAATGACTGTCCTTTCATTGATCCACAATTCTAATACCCTATCATTTCCTTGATTTCAGATTCATGTTTCCAATAGGCATTCAACTTGTTCTTGTCACTTTTCTCCAATGACTAACATTTAATGTATTCTTACCAAAATCATCAATTTCCCCACCAAGTATTTCCCTCTTCCTGTCTTGATTCCTGCTAATGGAATCACCATTTAAGGAGTGGGAGGTGGAGCGTAGGGCACAGTTAGCCACTTTCTCCTCAGCATGCAAAAAGTCTGAGGGTGATCTGAATATGGGACCACAGTTGACTCTTAACTACTTAATTCTTTGCCAGCTCTATCAGTCGCTGTGTAAGAGACAAAACCACAAATTCAACAAACCTGGAGAAATGGACTAAACTTTTCAATCAACATGATTCAAAACCTTTGAATCACAACCAAGTCATGGCTCATTACTCAAATTCTAACAACATACAAAGTTTTCTCATACCTCTATGAAAGCTTCTCATTCCTTCATCAGAATTAAATGAAACCCCAATCTTACATTTAATGTCTTTTTTTGGTTTGTTTTTTGTTTTTTGACAGTCTACTGTGTAGCTCAGCCTGACCTTGAACTCACAGCAATCCTCCTTTGTCAACCTCCCAAGTCCTGGGCGTACACATGCCACCATGTCTACCTTGAAAGTGTCTTCTGAGCCGGGCGTGGTGGCTCACACCTGTAAGCCCAGCACTCGGGAGGCTGAGGCAGGAGGATCGTTGGGAGTTCAAGACTAGCCTAGGCTACACAAAGTCAGCTCAAGACCAGCCTGAACTGCATAGCAAGACCCTGTCTCAAAAAAGACCAAAGGAAAAAAAAAGTGTCTTCTAATTGGGCACTGGTCTTCACCTTCTCTTACCTCCAAGCAACTTCTGCTAGAGCACTTTTTAAAAATGCCACTCTAATTATACTGTTCCCTGGTTTCTCACTATTTGTAGAATTGTCCAAACCCTTAGCATGCTATCACACTGCCATTCAAGTTTAGATGTCTGCTATCTCTCAATCCTTATCTCCTACTACTCCCTATGCTCTAGTCCAAGGGTCACTATAGCCATTAGGCCAAATCCAGCACACTGCCTAGTTTTGTAAATAAAGTTTTATCAAAACATAACCATGCTCATACACTTACATACTATCTATCATTGCTTTTGTAATATAATAGAAAAGCTAAGTAGTTGCAACAGGGCCATATGGCCTGCAAAATGTAGAGTGTTTACTATTCACTGCTTTACATAAAAAGTGTACTGACAGTGTTCTAACAGAATAACTGGCTGCTCCCTGAAAACTGCATGTGTTTCCCACCTTCATGTATTTGCTCATGCAGTTCCTGTCTCTTGGAAGGACACTAGCTTTTCCCCTAAATTATATACATTCTTCAAGTAATATAAATACGTACTTTAAAAACAAACAAAAAAAGGGGCTGGGGATTTAGCTCAGTGGCATAAGCGCCTGCCTTGCAAGCAGGCAGTCGTGAGTTCGATCCCTGGTACCGAGTAAAAAAAAAAAGCTCAAATCCTACATTTTTCATAAAGACTTCCCTGATCCAAGTGATATACCTCTCTTCCGCATTTTGCCACTTATGTCTAATGTTATGATTACTCACAAATATATTTCAACTTCAATACTGTAAATTGCCATAGTCATTTGCAACCTCATACAGTGTAACAACACTTTGCTTTATAAATGGTTGTTGAGTTGAAACAAACCCCTATAAGCTTAAGTACCAGGCTGAAACCAGTGTTGTATTATGTTGTGTTGTGTCGTGTTTTTTGAGGTAGGTGCACACTCCTCCTACTTCTGCCTAGTAGGGAGAGATTCTTAAGCTTTACATACAGGTCTCCACATTCAATTGCACAAGACTTGACAGCTACACTCAAAAGAATAAGAGAGGCAGGATTCCTCAATCACAGCACTGCTAAAATTTTGGTATAGATAATTCTCTGTCACAAGAGCCATCTTGTACACTGTAAAATGTTTATAATACCATCTTTAGCCTCTACCCGCTAGATTCCAATAGCAACTTCCCAGGGTAAAAATCAAAACTGTCTCCAGACATTAGCAAATACCTTCTGGGGGGCAAAATTATCCTCAATTGAAAACCACTATTTCAGTGGTTTCCAACAGAAGCTAACAGTAAAATGTTGTTGATAACACAGACTATGTAGTAATTGTGGTACCATGTCCAGACTAAGAGATAGGCAGACTAAGAGATAGTGCTGACTGATTCACACTTTCAAAGGTGTGCTCAATTCTGAATTTTAAAAGGACTTTAAAAACTGAAATTCATTCAATTAAAGGTGACAAAGCCACTGAGGGCCTGGAAGAAAATGCTGTAAGAGGGATACTTAACCAAATGGAGGTGGTCAGTCTGTACCAGAGATGGTAGTCCATATTGGTAGCCCATGATCTTTTACACATCTGAAGGGCCGTCCTATGGGAGGAAGGTTACTCAGGAAGACAGATCTAGACCCACTGGGCAGCACTGCTGGATGCTGATTTTGCCTCTGTATAAGCAAAAGCTTTCTAACAATCAGAGTGAGCCAAGAGATGTATTGAGCTAAGCTATGAAAGACTATGTTCTTGTCACCGTGGAATTGTTCAAGCACAGGCCAGCAAACTAATGTCAGAGATCTGTAGAAAGATTCCTGCATGAGATGGGAGCTGAGACAAGATGGTGTCTCTAAAGTTCCTTCTAGCTCCGAGTCTAAGGTTAGAAAAAGAAAATTCAAATGCCATGAACAAGCTATATACATAAGCCATATGAAATTTTAATACCTTAATTACAGCAAAAAAGAAAAATATTTTCCTAACCTCTATTTCTGTTTTGTAACATCTTACATTTAGCCCCAGCACTTTAACTACCAGTGACCTATTTAGTCTAATTAACTTACAAAGTTAATTAGATTCCAGCCTAAGTTTACCACTACCTTTAAACAGTAACTTGTAGTCCATTAATTATCACCAGTACAATTTGTAAAATATTTTACAGTTTTCAAAACAAACTGACATATATTACCTTACTCACATTATCCAAACATGAACAAGACAACTTATTTCAGCTAACCTACATTCGAGACATGTCTCTTGCTTGAATTTCTTATAAGAGGCTAGCCTTTATTATTCATTAAACATTCATTAAATTAATAAAATATATTCCAGTAGATATCCATCTCCAAAACAAATCATTTATACACAACCCAGAGATAAGCTAAATTCAAATATTTTGTTATTAGGTAAGTCAAATTTAGTTATTTCAGCATCAGAAACATGGATTTACTTCTGTGAAATTTCCACTTTATTTATGATTTGAGGAAAATTTAAGATCATTTATATTCCTAAATTTCAACATGGACATACAATCAAAAAGTTCAAGAAAGCAAACACAACTAAACATGAAGTATATGTGCTATAGTTGACAAGCAAAACCACCATAGGCACTACACCCAGTGTCTCCGTTACTACCCAGTTAAAATTGTCAACGAGATTCACGTAAGGAGTCGCCCCAAACCAAAACAGGGCCCCAGCCACTGCTTTACTTACTTCTTTACGTTTTGTTTCTGGACATTCCGACTGCAGAGTAAGAGTTGCACCTTCAATATTTCTTGGCATGGGTGTGGAACCAGGGTTTATAGTCAAATGAATCTGATCAGGTGAGATAATGTGTTGCACATAACCCTGGGACATTGCTTCCTGATCTATTAGATGGAAGCCCTCTTCACCCCCTACTAGAAAAGGCAAGTGTTCTCCACATTGTCCATCATCATCTTCATCCTCCAAAGTGCCAGGATCCTGCTCAATAAGGACAGTGGTCCTATCATAAACAGTTCCAGATGAGGAAGGCACCAGTCCGTTTGTATCCACAAACCTGAGCATCTTGTCATCTTCCTCTGCCTCAAAGAAGATGATGTTGTCGTCTGGACTGTGTTCCCCCATGATGCAATCGTGCTCAGCCCAATTGTGAGAAATGGAAAGGTAATGACCTTTCTGAAATAGAGAAACCCAGAGTCAGAGCCACACCACAAGACCCACTGACCTCCCCAGAAACCTTAACACTCATTTTCTCTCATTTAAAAAAAAAAAAGCCAAAACAAATGAAAAAAATCATCAATAATTTTTTAACTTTAACTTTGATACAATCAAATCAATCTTAAGGAAAAACAATGCTTTTTTCCCAAAAAAAATCTAAGGAATAAGTAGCAGTTTATGGCTTTCTAAATGTGTTCATCAGTACCTAAAGAGAACAAAAGAACAAACAGAACAGTGGTTGCTTCAAGGCTGAGTTGCTTTAAATCTGAAAGTATGGTTATTCCACTCACATCATACTATGGTGCTGTACACAATATGTCATGTAGCCTATGACAGAAGAAACATGGCTCTGGATAAAAGTCAGTCACCTACTAATCCTGGCTTTGCCCTTCATTATCTATGTAACTTTTCTTTTTTCTTTCTTTCTTTCTTTTTTTTTTTTTTTGGTATCAGGGATCGAACTCACGACCTCGAGCTTGCCAGACAGGGGCTTCTACCACTGAGCTAAATCCCCGGCCCCTTATGTAACTTTTCTATGCCTCATTTTTCTTTCAAAGTGGTGATAAGGAGTAAAGTAGGGTATGGAAGGCACAATGTCTGACAAATAGAGGAACAGATGTGGATTCCTCCCCTCCCTCCTAGAACAAATGTTTCGGTTTCTGGGCTAGTCCCATAATGCACATCTAATGAAGATAATTTTAATTTAATTATTTACTAAAACGATATGGTAGCCAGGCAGAGTGGTATATGCCTGTAAACCCAAGCCTTGGGAAGCTGAGGCAGAAAGATCACTGAGAGTTCAAGGCTAGCCTGTGATACATAGTGAATTCAAGACCATGCTGAACTACATAATGAGACCGTCTCAAAAATAAATAAATAAAATAAAACTACATGGTATGGATTACAAAGTATGCTTGTATACTGAGCTCTCTGGCTTTAGAAAACGCTCCTACACTGACACTTGCTTGGAGTTCAGAAAATGTCAGCTAAATCAATGAAAAGACGCACAGTTACACTGTTTTGTGAAGAAATAGTCTCTTGGGAAGACACACTCCCTTGGAGAAAATACCAAATTTGAGGTATTCGTGGTCTGAAATAGTGATTCCTCCGTCATCTGCGAACACACAGGTTCTACAAATGTGGGTTTGACAGGTAGAACATAATTTAAAAATAATTAGCACAGCACTTTTAGTTTTCAGTCTGGCTTTGTACTTTATCTTTCTCTTCAGCTTAGGGTTTCAAAGTGAGCCTTTACGGAGCAAGGTGTTAGAGAGGTAGTTACCAGTCAAGGGATTTGATCCGGGAGGAACCGGCCCGACCCCTTGCTCTGGCTTACGCAACCCCACAGATGCATATTTCGCTGCCTCTGAGAGGAGAGATAAGAGGACTGAAGGCCCAATGGGCTGCCCCGGCACATTCGGCGGCAACGCGGAGACCAACTGTCCGAAACAAACACGACCAGGTTTGAGGATGGCCAACGAGGAGTGCGAACGGAGCACCCTTGAGGAGTCTAGGGAGAAGAACCTGTCTAGAATGGTCCCCAGTCCAGGACTACGTGGGAAAATCCTAAAACAGGCCGGGGGGCTACCAGTTGGGCGAAGAGGGGCAGGGTCCGGGTCTCCATGGAGACAGGAAAGGGGGGCTGGATACCCATCCCCATGGAAACGGAGGAGGGGTGGGGTCCCTACAGAAAGCTGACTGGGGTCTCTACTGGAAATTGCTTCAGGAGGGAGTCTAAGTCCCGCGCCCCTCGGGAAGTCCCAGCCCAAGCCGAGTCTAGTTTCGCCTTTTACCTCCGCGGCTCCCGGCAACGGCGGCGGCAGCAGCTTCTCCCCACCCCAGCGGCACCATGATTGCCCCCACCTTTCCTAACGTCACTTCCGCTTCCGCTTTCCGGAGGAAGGAGGAGACAGCCACTCCACCTCTCTCTGGCGCTCCTGGTTGGCTTCCGCGCTCTGGGGGCTGAGCCCGAGCGTCCAATTAGCGAACTGCAGGGGCGGGGTGAGCCGCAGGGCGGGGCAGGGCGGCCGGAGACGTAGCTGGCGCTGTGATCTCTGGCTGTACCGGGAAGCGCCTTGGTTTTCGCCGACGTGCGCAAGGAAGAGGGCGACTCCCGACTACAAATACGAAATAGCGTCAGCCTAGTTTGCACCACGACTGTAACGGAAAGGACGCCAGTTAGCCATCACATTCCCGGCTTGGGTACGCCAGGGGCGAAGCTGTTCCCGGCCTTCTTCCTCAACGACCCCAACGCCCCCTTGTCACCCAGCAAAGTTAACAAGACAGGAAGGTCCAGGAACTCGAGCATTCCAGGCCCAACCACACGTGACGTTACTATCTGTTCCCTTCTCAACACGTTTCCTAAAACGCCCAGTTTTGTGTCTCCTTTTACACCTGCCTACCCTGGCCGCTCCAACTTTTCTCCCCTGCGGAGGATTCTCCCGCCCAAGTCAGGCAACGCCACCTACTGGTCACTCCCTTTCAACTTCACATTCACCCTGTTGGTCCATCTCTTGAATCACTAACTACACTGCTGAGAAGCAGTGGCATCCTAAAGCCCAACAAGCAATTTTGTGCATCTTTTCTAAGTTCCTGTAAGATCTGTTAGGTCCTCTCAGCAGCTGTTTTTCCCGTGAATTACTTCTAATATTGAGACAATCCCTGGAGACTACAGTTCAGGCCATGGCCCACCATCTCTCACTTGGAAAATGGGATGAATATTATCCACCAGATTGCTGGGCATTTGTCTCTTTGATTTCTGATCAGCTGTCTCAATGCTTAAACCACAGAGGCCCAACTGTCAAAGAATGCCATCTCTTAAGAAAAAAAACACAACAACCACTGTTAAAAATACATTTATCATTAAAATATATTACATACATGGAGGAGATGCATAATACACAGTTTGGAGGATTTGCTGGCCTAGACATTCTCACTTGCTTTAGCGGAACAGGCATTTCTTCACTGTTTTCAACTTTAAGCCACTGTACTGCTCTCCCTAGCTGAGTGACCAGCCTCAGAATTACTGAGCTGTATCTGAAGAGGAAAGGGGTAGCGTTTCCATATGCATGAATACACATCCTCAGACTGGCCAATGGAAGCCTAAACAGTGGCTGACGCTTATTTATCCAGGACTGTCCACCTGAACTCTTGAAGTCTGACTCATTTTTCTTTTAGGACTTCAACGTTTATTCAAATATCTGATTGTAAAGAGCTCAGCCCAGGCTACATGGATGGCATTAACTATGCCCTGGAGCAAGGCTGAATGAGCATAAATAGTCATTTTCTTTCTTTTTCTGAGTCTATGTATTCCAAATGGCCTTGAACTTGCTAGGTAGCCCAGGTTGGCATTTAATTCATGATCCTCCTGCCTCAACCTCCCAAGCTCTGGGATTATGGACAACACCACACCTGGCCTAAATTTTGTAAAATAATAAAGAATTAATAGAAACTGTATTAACTAAAGTTGAACACCAAATGTCAGTTTTATTGTGGTAGATTTCCCCCACGTCTTCACAAGTCAGCACTGAGCATTCTAACCGATGGCAGGATGGGGGAGGTCTTGGCTCAGGAATCAGGTAGCTGCCATGCTTGCTTCCAGGTGGGTTCGTATCATCTTAAGGCATCACTTGAGCTGAGACCAGAGGGGCTGGCAATTGGCTGCTTCCAGTAAAAAAAGGACGAGATGGAGAGGTTCAGAGTGTGTTGCAGAGAAACTGATGAATAAACTCTTGAGCCTTCTTCTTATCTGCCATTTCAAGATTTTGGTGACCAGCTGGGTTTCGAAGCAATAAACTGCTAAATATGCTTGCTATATGAAAAGAAAAGAAAACAAATGATTCAGCAATACAGACAGTATTACTTATTCTTATGTTTTTAGGAGCAGAGAAGCAGATACCAAAGAACAGTATTTTCTGCTTTGAAACACACAAAGCAAAAAATTACTTGAGTGTAAACTTTGCTCAGAGCTTAAAATTTAAATCCTACTGTAATAAGCCCAGGCAGGACCCTCCTCAATCTCTTGTCTCATAATGAACCATTTTACAGAGATGCTTTCTAGACACTTACTTTGCTGGCTACTTACCTAGAATATTCTCATCCAAATGATTTTTTGCTGAATTTTTCAGCAACTCTTGCAAAAATGCCATTAAGTAGTTGAAGACATTTTTGTGGAATGTAGGGAGAGTAAAAATGACCTGAAAGAGAAAGAATTGGGATTCCTCTGTCAGTTTGCCTACATTTCAGGACCTGAGTACATAATCTATGAACATGAGTAAGATAGGAAACAGAAAACTGTACTTGGCGTAAGAGAGGCATTGGTCAAACGGCAAACGAATTTAAGAGGTCAGACTTCTTGCTCTATGTTCTGACATAACTTAAGAAAATAGAAGACAGTTTAGTCTTGAGTATAAGACAAAACTGGACCTATAAAGCAAGGGAGCCCTATAAAGGTAAGAGTATAACCCTTTTAATAGGTTTTAAGGCCAAATGTCAATGGATATCTCAGCTACCACCTGGGAAACTTACACAAAATACATTGCAGAAGATATTCCGATTCAGTGGATTTGGGGTGAGGCTCTTCAACCTCTATTATTGTCAAGTTTTCTATACTATTCTGTCAAGTATAAGTATTGTGGAAGGCTAAAGGCTATTAGGCTAAATTGAAGAAAATTCTGAATATTTAAGAAAATTACTAATTGACCATGGAGAGCTATGTATGGGTTTTGACCAACATGATGAGAACTTTCCGATGCATCACTGGCTGGCAATATACAAAATAAACCCGCAGAGATAGAGCCCAAATGTACGGCACTAAACCAAGGTAAGTAGAATGAGAATAGAGGAGAGAGGATGGTGATAGATCAACAGGCCTGACTATGTTGGAAAGGAAGAAAAGAAAGAGTCAGAAATGACTCAGGTTTCAGGGTTGAGTCATTAGAATTAAGGCTGATGCTATTAAAAGAAAAATGAACCCAAGAGGAAGAACTGGTTTGAGAAGAAAGCATAGAGTATTAGGTTTCTAAGACACGGCACTAAGGAGCTGTGTCCATTTGTTCCATCAGGCCTCCTGGGCCCAGGGAGAGCCACATTACACAGTGATGTTCTGTGCCTCCTCTCACCTGTTTGCTCGCTGTGTAATTACCAGAACACTCCAGGCAGCTGTGGTAGGCATTGTAACAGATCACAGGCTCTGGCAGGCTCTCCAGGAAAAGCAGCAAGGCTTCAGCTACAGAATGATTGCTAGCAGCTTTTGGCCCATCATTAAGGAAAGGTGATGTTGGTTTCCCACCCCTGGTTAGGAGAAGAGCCGGGGACAAAAACATGCTAGAAGTACTCCTGCTCAGTCAGGCTCTCTATTTAGAGTTAGGATGCCAGCCTGACATATCAAAGTGTCTGTCAGATAAGCCAGGCCTTGCTGAGTTCCTGCTATATTAGTTGATTAAAGTGGTAAAATCTTCTTTATATAAACTTTAGTTAGGAAAAACATGATCCCTGGAAACACAGCATCAGACTTGAAGTTTAAAATATTATTTCCCTTTTCTCACCTCTCTCTCTCTCTCTCTCTCACACACACACACACACACACACACACACACACACACACTACTGAATGCCTGAAGGATACAGAGGTTATCAATCATTCCAGTATCCAAACAGTCCCTGATATGTTCAAATTCCAACCTCAGGCCTGGCTGTTGAAACAAATCTTCCTGCAAAAGGGAAGTCACAAATCAATTAGTTTTTTCAGAAAGTCAGCAATGATTTCCTGATCTATCAATATCATCAGAGTAGGGCTGGGGATTTAGCTCAGCAGCATAAGCGCCTGCCTTGCAAGCAGGCAGTTGTGAGTTCGATCCCTGGTACCGATAAAAAGGAAAAAGACAAAAAATATATATATATCATCAGAGTACAAAAAGGCGCTGTGTAGGGAGACCCCCGAATCACCCTGATAAACAATGTGGTTTAGGCTGCTGTGGCTAACTGATCTTGTGGGCCTTCCCAAAAATGTTTTTACAGTAAATTTTAAGCATCTATAATAAAATGACAGGTAGGGCACACCACATAAGACAAGATTCAGCATAGAAAGCCAGGCATGATGCCACATGCCTGCACTCGGGAAGACTGCCTCAAGTTCAAGGCCAACCTGGGCTATCGAGTGAGTTCAAGGACAGCCTGAACTACAGAGTGAGACCCTGTCTCAAAAAATAACCAAAGAAACAAGTAAAAACAAAACAAAAGCAACGGGGCTGGAGATTTAGCTCAGTGGCATAAGCGCCTGCCTTGCAAGCAGACAGTCATGAGTTTGATCCCTGGTACCTATAAAAACGAAAAAGACAAAAAAAAAAAAAAAAAAAAGCAACACAACATGAGAAAACTTAAGAATATTTATGTATCTTGCAATGCTTAAGAATATTTATGTATCTTGGGATTAACTAGGGAAAAAAATACATGTATAAAATGAAATAAACTTGAGGCAGGGGTATCCTTACAAGTTTGAGACCAACCTGGGCTACAAATGAACTCAAAGCCTGCATAGTGAGACTTTGTCTCAAACAAAACAAACAAACAAAAATGAAACAAAACAAAACAATGTGACTTCTACATAAGAAGCCAAAGGTCCACCATTCACTTGGGATCCTTGACCAGGTTATTTTATCTACGTTTCTGGGCATGTTTCCTCATCTGAAAGCTACTATGAAAACTGAATGAGGCAAAGTAGTGAAACACTTAGAACAGTGCATTACAACACCCACTAAATGTGAGGGGGAAAAATGAACCAGAACATAAGAGTGAACACTGCTGGGGGCTGGGGATTTAGCTCAGCGGCATAAGTACCTGCCTTGCTAGCAGGCTGTCGTGAGTTCGATCCCTGGTACCGATAAAAATGA